GGATGGATGGATGGATGGATGGATGGATGGATGGATGGATGGATGGATGGATGGATGGATGGATGGATGGATGGATGGATGGATGGATGGTGTCTTTGCATGCACCTCTGTGGAAGTAGAGATGTAGAGAGTCTGTAAGATGTTTTTTAAGTGAAAAATGCACTCCTCCATTTTTCATTTAGGATATCGGATGCGTATCGGTTCGAGCACAGATAAAAAGGACTCTGGAAGGATCCATGTGGACTTCGCCCAGGCCAGAGACGACCTGTATGAGTGGGAGTGCAAACAGCGCCTATTAGCCAGAGAGGAAAGGCATCGACGAAAGATCCACGAAGACCGCCTGCGTCCGCCGTCGCCTCCTCCCATCGTACATTACTCTGAACATGAGGCGGGGCTGCTAGCCGAGAAGCTAAAAGGTGGGAAACTCTGAGAGAAACTGATCCAGTAAAGACAGGTTTACAGTTTAGGGTGATACCAGCAAAACAAATGCTTGATTGGTGATAAAGGCTAAGGCAGTTAATTTTCTTTTGAATTAATGTAGTAGATGGATGAAGCGAACATCTGCACTGGTTAATCTATTGATATTGATATTCCAGAAGGAACAGAATCTGGTGGTTTTATCATATTTTATCATGGATACAGTGATTTTATCAGACATAATAGTGGATAATTATGCAAAGCTTCTTAAAAATGACACAGAGGTCTATGTGTTTGTGTTGTATAATCTGGGGTTTAGACCACCTGCTAGGTTTAATACCAAATGCAAATGAATCTTTCCGGAAGATGCACAATTATTGATCTTTGTCCTGTTTGTGGCTTCTCTAAGCACACCGTTACAAACAATTGTGTTTGTCTTAAACTGTATTTGCCAACAGAGGAACAGGCTGCAGTATAATCCAGTTAATCTGTTAATCAAGTCATATTGTTGATGCATAAATTCATTTTAATCTAAAGTTTTCAGTAGCTGTACTTAGATGTGTGGTTTAGCTGTGGGCGATTGAAATTGTGACCTCTTTTACCCTCTGTGCTGATTACAGGGTTACCAAACATTTTTCATTTCAAAGGTTCCCCATTTGCCAGACTCTTCAAGTTTTTCTCTGCACTTTATAAAACAAACTTGACGTATGAGTTCACAAACCGCTTAAATAGTTGTCCCATCTGTAGGATCCACAAATCATGGTACAGGCCAGAAAGATTTTCCAACATTCAGAGTGTGGTAAGAGGACCATTTCCTTATGCTTTCTGCATCTGGTTTCAGTTAGAATAGCTCAATTTTAAAATCTGAAGGGCTTGTATTGTAAAAGAAAGGATTTCCATATATCTTTAAAGCCCAATTTTTGAACAAGATTTAACTTTTGTTGTTGCAGTAGAAAATGTAATAGTTTTAGGCAAATCAATTGATAGAATTCTATCTGGGTATCAGCTTTTCTAAGGCAAAATTGCTCAGTATATAAACAGTTTTGAAAAAGAAAAATATCTGTGTAAAATTTAAATATTCAATTAGGAGTTATTTTTTTCGTTATAATTTGATCTGGTGGGGAGTGGCGGCCTAGCGGTTAGGGCATAGAGCTTTGAATCCTGAGGTCTCTGAGTCCGAGCTCCACTCCCACCGACTGCCACTCTGGGTCGCTGAGCAAGACCCTTAACCCCACAACCCCACACTGCTCCCTGGGCGCCCCATAATGGCAGCCCACTGCTCCCCAAGAGGATGGGTTAAACACAGAACTAAATATCTCTAATGTAAGATCAATGAAGTCATTTTTTTTTTTTTTTTTTACAAAAGAAGTTTTATAAAATTTGGTTGTTTTTATTATAGCCAAGGATTGACTATGACTGGTAATGATTAAACAGCATTAATTGATCTATATGTTTCCAAAATTGTCCTTTTTTATATTTTAAAAACATAATCAAAATTATGTATAAGTTCTTCTTATTAAAGTAATTGTTATAGCTCTGCTACAAATAAGTGGTGGCAGTATGATACATAACAATAATCCAGGATGCTGGTGAAGATTCTCAGTTCTCCAGGTCGTAGTCATTCCTAAACAGTTAAAAAAAAAAACAATCCACTGGACTTTTTTTCCAAGTCTGAAGACGTTCCACTTCCCATCCAGGAAACATCGAACCTCACCTGATCAGCCAGACCAACAATTCCCTTTAATGACCCCCCTTTCACAGACATGGACAGGTATTGGTTACAGTATTACAGGCTAACAAACAAGCCAAACTACACTCTTTCCAAAGGGGTGGACCCATACTGTATGTGCGGCTAAATTTGCATGTTTTCTAAGCCAAAATAAGGCTTTGTTTTAGTTCGACTCTATAAAGCCTCAAACTCAACGCTATTTCTGACATTTTGAATTGAAAAAGCTTCCTGGACGGGAAGCGAAATGTTTTCAAACTTGGGAACAAAGTCCAGTGGAATGTTGTTTAACTTTGTTGGACTAATCCAGGATGCAGCAACTTTTTCATTTGCTTTTCTCAGGCTGCGTCATATTTCTTTGCTGATGAAGAGAACAGAAAAAGATGGATAAATACAAATCGACAAATATGAGCAGGATGTCAAGTGGAGTGTTATTCTAGGTTTTCACATAACAACTGCATGAGGAAAAATGTAAAACATTATGTATATAACCATAATGAAAAGACTCCTGTCCTTCTGTCCATGTTTTCCACCTTTCACCTGCTCTCTCTGCAGAGCAGGAGACTGGATGCAGAAGGAACAGCGTGGGAGTGAGATGAATGAGGTGTGGAGTGAGAAGCTTGTGAAGAGTGATGTTTGTGGAGGAGTGTGAAGGTCACTGCTCCTCCTCTGTTATGTATCTTCCGCTGGCCTGTGCTGGAAGCTTATCTTTGCTGGACTGAGAGCGCTGAACCTTTACAGTGAAAAGCTGTTTTCCTCACTGTGTTCTTGGAAAACAGTCCAGATGAAGGAATCACTTAATTCCATTTACTTTATTCCAACTGAAAACCAAGAAACTGCTTATTCTCTCCTCCTTAAACATCTGGAAACCACAGCCCTGTGTACTATACAGTGTTGTTGTTTGATCCTGGAAAGAATAACTTTGATGGCATTGTTTATTATTTAATAAACCTTAATATCATTAATTACTGAGATTCTCCACACTAATGCTGTGTGGCTAAAAGGTTATTATCTCCAGATCCATCCCTATAAATTGATTAATTTCTAAAGGAAAAACAAAACTTCAAGGCACATAAAGACAAAAAAATGGGTGGAGGTTTTATTTTGCTCTTCTATTAGTCATTTTTATATATTTATTTGACGGCGACAGACTGGCAACCTGTCCCAGGTGTACCCAGCCTTTTACCTGTAGACAGCTGGAGATGGGCACCAGCAGCCCTCGCGCCCCCCGCTTGGCATAAGCTTGATGGAAAATGGATGGATGGATATTTATTTGAGTGTTGATCCTTTTTTTATTCTTCCATTGTGAAAGGCTGTTAAAACCCTAACATGTTGACATTTTATTAATGCTGAAATGTAGAGAAAAAATAGTAAATTGTTGTTTCAGTACTAAAGTAAAAATCATTAAGTACAGAGTGGAAATAATCTCATTAAGACACTTCTATGTAAACTTTACTGTGTATTTTACTTTAATGCCTACTAACTAACCAAATGTGTGTGCCCTCAGGCTTATATTTATTTTCTGAACTGTAATGTTAGTGAAGTATTTTCACATGACTGGTCTTTGAGTTGGTCTTGCTTTGGTTTAATGGTTAGACACAGTTTCATTCTTCCTGTAAGAGCCTAAATTCAATTTAAGTTAAGATAAAAGATGAAAGGAAATCATTAATAAGTTACAGTAAAATCCTAAAGTAACAAGTTTATGGCTTCATTACTTAGGAATCTACACTTCCGATGTCAATTCTTTATTATGGACATGCTTTTCCCCTCTATTCATAAGTTTGCCTTATTTTCAACAGATTCTTTGCTGTTATTTCGACTTTTAGACAAAAATCAGGAAAGCATTGTAAATACCTCTCATAATCGTTTTCCTCCAAGTGCACTGAGCGTTTTGCTGCTGTACAGCTTCTGTTTTACTGAGTCAGAATTCAGCATTCAGTCTCTCAGGGCATTATAAGAAGTAAATGTGTCAAGAATGTTGTGTAAGTTACTAAATCCAGCTAATCCACGCTGGATGGTCGTTGGATTCATGTTACACTTTATGCCAACAGTCACTGCCACTGATTTATTACAAACAGAGTTGCTGTTTGAAAAGGCTCAGTAAGATCAGATGAATTTATACTTTATCAACACTTGAATAAACAGTACTTTGCAGTTGTACATTATATGTCATGTTTTTCTATTTCAAGTCTTTAAACTTTGAATTCCAAAATAGATATAAAATAAAATCTAAAAGATGAATTTCTAAATGGTTAAACATACCTTCTGTGTACTAAATTATCTTATGATCATAGGATTTATTTTGGTGTAAGTTTATTTTTTATTTTAGTGAAATTTATGGTGTTTTATAAACCATAAACTTCAGAAAATTTTGCTGGTGTACTGCATCATGCAATGCAAATACATTTCTTCAGTCAGTGGTCAGATTGTTTCTTACTCTTCCTTGTTATACTTAGTTGTAGAACCTGAGAACAGCAATTTCTTTCCCCACAGCGGCTGTGTAGGATTCAGCTAAGAAAAAGTTCACCATCATACAGTAGTAAAATGGTGAATCACTGGGTTCTATGGCATAAAAAAAGTGTTTTCAAAAAAGATTTTTAGTTGTTGTGGTGTGGATTATGTGTTATTTCAAAGAGTAGATAAAGCCCAATTTGACTTTTTTTCACATAAACTGTATAAAGTGGGCCTTCAGTGTGTAAAATTTATGTTTTTGTCCAATGTCTTTAAATTCTGAATTTAACCTTTTAGGACTGACCTCTTTAAGGGGAAGGATCGCTACTATAGGCTAATTTCTATGTTGTTTATAACGATTACAGCTTGGTTGATGTCTGCATCACAGCCTAGGCTCTTGGTTAGCATAGCTCTTAACCCTTTCATACCATCTCCACACTTGATCATGTCCCTCAAAGCGTCTCTTAGAACTTTAACAGAATATTTCAAAACTTGTTCAGGGCAACGGATATGTTTTTGCACTGGGTTTAGTCCCTGTTTAAGTTAAATAAAACGTTATTTTAAAAAGGGATTTATTATTATGAATATGTGATGTTGTTGTGTGTGAATGGGTGTGTGGGTGTGTTTGTGGCTAAATTTCTTTCAGAGTGAGGACCATTTCTCCAATTTAACCATCACAATGAGGACCAGTTGTTGTAAAGTGAGGACATTTTGCTGGTCCTCACAAGCTATTTTGCTAATGTTTAGGTTTAGGGATAAGGTATCAATTGGGTTAGGGTTAGGGTGAGGTATGCATTGGTAATGGTTAGGTTTAGGGTGAGT